GCAGAGGAAAAATAGACAAAAGAGAAACAGCTAAGATACATGCATACATTCCAGAGCATGTCAAAAGGATTAAATATTGACCAAGAATTCTTAGCACTATAAATACCTTAATAACTAGTTCTCCCTCCAATCTTGTGTATAGACTAAAAGTGTGCTGCTTATATACCACCCCATAGCACTTAAAGCACTATGTGGGTGTTTTACAAGTTAATTCTGCAGCCTGCACATTGCCTCCCCCTGCCGCAAGCTGAGTGTGATGGAGATGAATTAGTATAGGATATGTAGTCAGAGAAATGTAAGATGGAGTCAGACATGTTCTGTGTGAAGATGATTTGAGAGACATTGGAATGTGTTTTTCTAAGTGCTTTGAGAATGTTTTCGAAGATTGGTACAGCATGCTTTGAGACAGAGCTGAAAGTCTAATCAAGGGGCCCGTGGAAGATTCAAGATTCCGAGCTAATTGGAGAAGATATAAAACAGCTGGACTTTCATGGGAATTAAGGGAGGAGGAAGGTGTTGAGGCTAATTGGCTAACAGACAGAATTGTCAAGAAGAAGGGACGAATTAGAGAGTGTAGAAAATGGACAATGGGTTATGTGAAAATCCTATTCTATTCTGTTTTGGGATTCGATTCCGTAATGATGGAAAAGGAAGGAACTTGATTGAGAGAGGATGTAAGTAAAGAGAAAGAAAGAGGTGGAGCTAGCCCACTGTAGCCCAGCTTAATAGTGTTTATTATTTTAATGGGGAATAGTTATTTTATTTAACTGTAATAATCTTTGAATATGTTCTTTATGCTAAAGCTTGTGCAATATAAACTGATTCTATGAAACTCTATTTTTCTAATAAAAATTAATTTTAAAAATTCTACAAAAGGACTGGTCTCTTGAACAGCAGGGTCTGGCTAAATCCAGGAGGTGGAGAGGGCCACAAACTAGCTATCTTTAAGAGTCCTCCCTAACTGGGCAGTTGTGGGTTCTAAGGAATCACAAAGCCTATGTGTCTGTACTTGCAAAGTACTGGGTAAAAGTAACGTGTTCTTTTCAGGTCAGACTTGTTCAAAGGGCTTACGCTATGCACTGCTGAGGTCTTGGGACTTGCCTTAGCGCAAAGGTGGTAGGTAAGTGGCCTGTGGAACTCTCTGACCGAGTGCTCAGCGCCCCTTAGGGAGACTACAGCACCACACTGAGTAGACTCGACCTTCTAGGACTTGACCCTTGATTGAGATGTCTGCCACTTCGCATCTCATTGAGTGGCTTGTCGAACTCTCTGACCGAGTGCTCAGCGCTCCTTAGGGAGACTAGAACACCACACTGAGTAGACTAGACTTTTCATCAGAAAGAGATGCTGAATCTGGGTATTTATCGACTGCCCCTAAAGGACCTTCCAGGACTTGACCCTTCGCATCTCATTAGAAGAATAGGACCATCCACTGAAACCAGGATGCCATCAACACTGCGAATTACTTGTGTCAATAATGCTATTGTTACATACTTTGTGGATGTATTGTTTGGCATAATGTACATGACATGTTCTGTTTTGCTGTGTCCAGCACAATTTGTTTGGTGCTGGTCTTCGTAATAAATTAAATTCATTCATTCATAATGCCTTTTTCACATTGTTAATTCGATTCCTGTCCGTATCCTGCATACAACCTGTGCTTTTGTTTCACTCCAGCACACTTCACTCAATCCGAAGAAGGGGGTGTATCCACGAAAGCTTGTGTTGAAAGGTGACCATTAAAGGTGCTCCCACACTTTGGCTGTTTATTAATTTTTTTATTGTTTCTGTCGTTATTTTGGTCTCGATACACTTCTTCCACAGACTAACCTGGCTACTTCTCTAAAAACTAATCCTGAGAGACTGTATCCTGGTTAAGTCTGAGGGAAACAGTCCACATCGTGACATTTCATGGAAGGCTTCAAATTAGGAAAATTCTTGACGTTCATAAACTGACTACTATTTTGAAGCAAGAAATCAGCAGAGACACCCACTGCTTTTGAAGGGGGGGGAAAAGAACAATTCAACTATTGAAGAAATTGTAAGTACTATAGTTCATGATTCTTGAACAGGAATGGGAAGTGGTGAGTGAAGATCAGCCTTGCCGGAGGTGGGGGGGCTGTCATTTCCTTGAGTCTCCCACCATCCTGCTACAACCGACAAGGTGAATGCCACTAAAGCCAGCAGCATTTAGGTCTACTCTTATCTGTTACTGTAGCTGAGTCGCTTAGGGTGCTCATGCATTCCAGGATCCACTGGAAATTGTGAGAGCTGAAACACACTCAATTTGTCTATTGTTAACTATGTTAAGTGAAAAAAAAATACACTTTTCCTAGAACACAAACCTTCCCTAGATTCAATGGACAATTAACATCCTATACAAAGGGAGATTTTCCACGTTACCCTTGTTTATTCCACTCTCCAATAGTAGTAGTAGCTTTCCATTCTGCAGGTATAGACACCACTGAACTGCTTCTCTCCCTCTACTTCTTTGTACTTCTTTCTCAGACACTCAAAGACAGAATCGAAAGCCAGGTGTTAACACCCGAAATTGGGAAGGGCTTTACCTGCAGTGGGGATGTCAGAGCACACATAAACCTTAGCTGTGGGCTATATAAGATATTCTCAGGCAACAAGTGTGCAAATATTTGTGAAAAGACTACTGTCAAAAACATGTTTTATGTCTGATAAATAGACTTTCTTTCATCTTTAAAGAGCTTTCTTAGAACTGTTCAGGAACCTACAGAGATGGTTACAGCACAACAAGACACATGAAACTGAAGAAGCAAGAACCTGATGAACTATAGAACCACATGACATTGACAATGAAGATATTGAAATAATTAAGAGATTTTGTATACCTTGGTTCAATTATCTACCAAGCCTTCTCGTACAAGAAAAAAGGAAGCATAAAATGAAACAAAATGTTTATTTGTTTGTTCATTCGTTTGTTCATTTGTTCATTCATTATTTCAACAAATATACAGCCATTATTTCAACAAATATACAGTGCAATGCAATCTCTTATGCAGCACATTCTTCCCAAGCAAATGTGTTCCTGCCCAGTTTATGGAATAACTGAAGTTTAGCCATGGCCTGACCATAGCGCCCATCCCAACATCTCAGGGACCCACTAGCTTGCCCTGACTGTTAGCTTTCAAATAATAATATTTAAAAGGATGTCTTCAGCTCTTATAAAACCCAAACCAAAATGGTGAAGTGCTCTTATGTCTGAACCTTTTCAAGCCTGCTTCTATGAGTGAAACCACAACTACATGAGCGAAACCATAACCACCGCTGACAGTTAGAAAGGACTGCTAGTCAGAGAGGTTTCTGCACATACAAGGTTATCTAGTTAATTTCCCTCCCCCCAAATTATGATTAAGCAGGACACAGAGGCGTATGGGTGAGGGAAATGAGAAGCAAGACAATTACAAATGTTAAAAATAAGATTTAATTTAGCAATAATAAAAGAATTATGTGCCACCAAGTTGCTTCCAACTTAAGGTGACCCTTGCCAGAAATGCTGCCTTATAGTAGCACTTTAGGACTGCCCAGCTTTCCCAAGACTACACAGGTTGGCTCTTTTCCCAAGAGGCAGAATGGTGAATCAAATGTCTGACTTCTGGTACTGCAATACACTGAGCTATCCAACTAGTTCATCTGCTGGCATACCAAAGAATTTCAAAAGATCAGTCAGTGCTTAATAGACTACAGCAAAGACGTTGACTGTACCACAATGACAAGGAAGAGCATTGAAAGTATTGGAGCTTCAGCTTAAGGATCTGTCCTTCTAGTGAGCACTCAGGGTTGATTTCCTTCAAAATGGATAGGTTTGATTTCCTTGCACTCCTGGGGTCTCTCAAGAGATATTGTATACTTTGGTTCAATCATCAACCGAAATGGGGACCGAAGTCTAGGAATCAGAAGACTGGGACTCGAAAGGGCAGCCATGAAGTATCACCTGGCATGACAACACTCCAAATAGAGTACAGTACGTAGTCCTAGAACAAGCTGGAATTTTTAGCATATATATATGTTACTGAAACAGCGACGTCTACATTGGCTTGCGCGTGTTTGTTGAATGGCTGATGGTGGAATTCCAAAATATCTCCTGTATGGAGACTTAGTGCAGGGAAATCGCCCCAGAGGAAGACCACAGCTGCGATACAAGGATATCTGCAAGCGGGATCTGAAGGCCTTAGGAATGGACCTCAACAGATGGGAAACCCTGACATCTGAGCGCTCAGCCTGGAGGCAGGCGGTGCATCATGGCCTCTCCCAATTTGAAGAGACCCTTGCCCAGCAGGCTGAGGCAAAGAGGAAGTCACAAAAGCAGCAAAACCAGGCAGCTGGACAGGGGACCGATTGTATTTGTCTTCAGTGTGGAAGGGATTGTCATTCTCCAATTGGCCTCCTCAGCCACACTAGATGCTGTTCCAAGTCCTCCATACAGCGCACGGTCCCATAGTCTCTCGAGACTGAAGGATGCCTAATCTAATCTAAAAAGGCAGGATTGTCTGGAAATGACAATAATGCTGAGAATGGTGAAAAAGAGGAGGAAAAGAGGAAGACCAAATGGGAGATGGACTGACTCCCTAAAGGAAACCACAGGCTGGAGTTTATAACGGCTCAGCAGGGCAGGCTGAGAACAGGACATTTTGGAAATCCCTCGTGCATAGGGTCACTATAAGTCGGAGGGGACTCCACGGCATATAATAACAACAGCACGCACGCGTGGCGCCGCCAAAAGTAAGAGACCCGCGCAAGCCTCGCTCCGCTGCTAAACCAAGCATGCGCGGAAAGCTTTACATCCGCCCCTGCAATACTGAAGTTTCTACACACAGAACCGCGGTCAACAGCGGCCACCACCCCCCCGCGCGTGCGCAGCTCCTTCCTTCCTTTGGCATCTTCCCCCATCGCATACTCCTCCCTCTAAGGCGCACGCGTGCTGCTCGGGCGCCCGCCTTCCGTCTTTGTCCCGCCCCCTCTGCCCTGTCTTTCCTCCGTCCCGCCTCTCTTGGGTTCTGGCCCGCCTCCATCTTCTAGCTGCTCTCAGCCACTGCGTCTGCGCGTCAGGAGCGCGAGAGAGAATGGAGCCAGGCGCTATTGGTGTGTTGATGCTGGGGATGCCATTTGCCGGGGTAGGTGTCTCGGCGACGCGCGTGGGATGGCAGCGGCGCGCGGGAGATAGAAAGCGCGAGGGCGCGTGCGTGAGTGAGAGGTAACGGCCGCCAGGTAAACTGC